ATTTGCTGGAAAACAGATTTTCCTCTCCTGATGGTTGTCTAATCTGCCACTTACAACTCAAGACATAATCCTGTTTATGACATTACCATCAGTTACAATGGAGAACTCCCCCACCTCCTAGCTATATTCATTTTTGCAGACTGAAGCCAGGATGATCGAAAGGACGCTGTTCAGCGAAACACTTAAAAGCTTCACTTGTAGCACATGCTTATGTCTTAAAGGATACGTGTCCTCAGCAAATGAAGATGTGAGGACAGAACATACAGAATTTCTTTTCCTGTCTTGGTAAGCGCTCAGGTTGCCATCATTGCTGCAGCCAGTGTCAGCTAGCTTAAGGCCAACGGTCATACATTTACACACTACAAATTCAACTTCACATTTTTCGTTTGTGCTTACACTTGCTGAACCATCGACGCTCAAGCATTTCACCGTATCAGCCAGACTAAGCATAAGAGACCCAGGGAACTGAGTGAATAAGAACTGTTACACACGCATACAAGGGTCTTCGAAGACCTTCGAAGGGTCCTCCTCAAAAGGAAAGCTTGTCTTAACAATATTAGCAGTAAAAGACCCACAGATCTAATAATCATGGGCTTTATTTGGAGAGCAAGTACAGAAAAGGCCCTGATATTAATAAACTTCTGCAAAGCGGGTTCAGCTTTTGGCACAAAAGATAAATGTATGTGAAGACCTGCCCTGATACTAGGCTTACATCCTTCCCCCAGAAGACACTGATCTTAAAAATCAGTAGATGGAAAACTGCATTCAAAACCACTCTCAACAATTCCAACCCACAGGCCCAGTGAGTAATACCGAAAATAAGCACTCCCTGTTAAGGGACTCGCGCTACACTAATGAACAGCGACCCCGAGAGTTACCAGTTCACAGCCTCTTACCGGGGTAGTCAAAGATTTTTACTTTTTTTTTTTTAACTGCCAGACAAAAACAAATTAAAATAAATAAGTAAGTAAATAAAAAATAAATCAGTCCTTGTCCAACTAATTCTCTGACAGAGCTTCCTTGAACATGCCAATTTAGCCCCTAAATCCTGCTTCTCCTGCAGCAGGAAAGCAGAACGCCTTCACACACAACAAGCGGAATTTGCCTCCATGCTTCTTTCTGTATGAGCAGTATCTTGGAAATACCCAACAGGAGGAACAAAGGAGTTCACCAGCATGGGACAGAAGAGGCTGCTTGATCGGAACCACACAGATGTGGTACCTCAGAATTTTTTGTCCACTTCCCTTTTCTATTATGCTTCTGTGATGTATTGAGTGGAAAAAAAAAAAGCCACAAAATACTGATTTGTTATACCTTTAACAAAACATTCATAAATGACTCATTGAAAGATTTCAATGAGCCTTAAAGGAGATCCTTGACCTTCTACCACACTCTTAGTAGTTTAAACCTCCTGCCTTTCGCATGCATTGGGATCTTTTTGCATGCTTCTTCGTCAATGACTTCATGAAAGTCAGTCACCTTTTAGAGAACATTTTTTCCTCCATGTTTTAATGCTTCTTTCTACAGTATTATGCTTCTTCAAAAACTAAATCAAGACAGACCAACCATCTCTCTTGGCAAGCCAATTTGACTAACTTACTTCTCTCCCAAGCAGGACAGAACATTTAAAAACTAAGGTTAGCCTTGCATTTTAAAGATACCTTACACACACCTGAGTCAATTGACACTAACAAAGACTTCCACGGTTTGTGATTACAATTTGTGTTTATTTGTGGGTTAAACCAGTTCATATAATTTACTTTCTTTCACAAGTCGGGTAGGTTGCCTGCTGTTAGTTCACAATGACTATACCTCATTCTCGCTACAATCTCAGACTTTACCAGAGTGCATCTTGTAAATATTTGGTTATGACTTCGCCTAGGATTCTACTCTGTCGGTAGAACTGATGTTGTGTTATGCTTACCAAATACAAGTGATCTTAAATAAACTTAGAACACGGGCTTCCAAAGCCAGAGCATGTAGGCTGAAGTATCTTCCATGGTTACTTTGGACACTCTCGCACTTTATCACTTACTGTATGTTCCTATACGCTAAGGTTTAGTATCTAAATATATCAAAATGGAGGATCTAAAATATAAATAGTCATTGTTTATATAATATTTCAAGCCTTTTAGAACACTGTGCACATACGTATTTGCAAATGAGGTATCAGATCCCAGTATCTGTCAGAAATTTGTCTGGATGCTGAGTAACTCCATTCATTGCCACTCAGATTTCAACATGAGGTCTCACATACATTATGTTCTAACTGCCTGTTCTGAAATAAAAGTTTCCTAAATATATTTTAAGGACTTCATAAAGAATATATTCTCAATTTATTATTGAAGAATACATGAGTAACTAAAAAATCTAGAAATGGCGTGCCCCTAATAACATACACATATATTGTACTAAAACCTGAAAATCAGTAGAAACTTAGAAGACAGTCTAAATTAACATTCTCCTGAAACATAAGGAGATGAGATATAAGAAGATTCCAGAAGCAGGACTGCATTCAACACGCCCCCATGCGAGCCACCACTTACAGACCCCAATTAGCTGCAACAGTAGCAAAGAAGCCCTTCTGTCCTCAACAGCTGACAAGAGCCAGGGTCTTTCATGGAAACCAAATTGCCAATCCCACAAACATAGCCTCGCCTTACAGATTTCTCCTTAATCTGATGTGACAAAAAAAAAAAAAAAAAAAAAAAGAAGAGAGAGAAGAGAAATTTACACCCATCCACAATATTAAGCCTCCACACAGTGAAGCCTAGCCATGGAACATATCTTACAGAATTACTTACACTGACACTAGCATTAAAAAACAAACAAACAAACAACCCAAAAACACAAAACCAAGAAGCAAACCAAAACCCACCACAAACCACAACCAACAACAAAACAGCACAAACTCCATGTCAGCCTGTCTGCAAAAGGAATAATGATCGATCCCAGAATGTTAAGCCACAAAGCCTGGTCAACATAAAAACCCTACATTTCAAGTCAGGAAGCCTCTTTCCCCCAGAAAAACATATACAATATAAATATTAACTCCAACAAAAACAAAGCCACCCTTACAGATCTGACCTCAGTGAATTCAACCCATGGGACACTCCAACTAGAACCACTCAGGTTTTAAGCCATTTTATTATTTTGTAAAAATAAGGAGCCATGAAGCGATGCTTCCAAATAACCACAGCACGTGTATTTTAGAAAGTTTCTCAGAAAAGAATATTCTTGCAGAAGATGATTGGCAAAATCAGTAGGCAGTTAACAACGCAGTCACGATATTCATGATACCTGCCCAATAAGCACCAGAATCACTTGACTGTAGCACAGACAGATGCTGGACATAGATGAGCTAGAGGTCTCAAACACATACAGAAAGTAAGGCTGAAATTGTAAGGTATAGTTTACACATTAATAACATATGCAAATCACTAAATTTATGTGGTCATCCTTATCCCTCAATAGTTTTTAAAAAAAAAAAAATAAATCAGTTAGACTATAATCTGAAAGAAAAGAGAAGAATCGCTTTTAGGAGCAAAACTACTCTCTCCCATTTCAAGCCACAGTATAGGCTCTCTATTGTCAAAAAGCTGACTCCTAGGCCGTATCTGGCACTCTTAACACAACCCCACAGAGCACAGCTGAACACCATTACCTCGATGATGCAGCACATAACGACTTGAGTCCTTCTGGGTTCCTGGATGCAAAAAAGTGTGAACTGAGCAAAATAACTTCTTATGATACATTACCGTACAACTATATGTACCACCATAACTAAATCAAACAATTTAATACATGTAAATACTGCCACTTAACCACTGGAATTATTTTTGCTCTTATTGCTTTCGTACAGCTTGCATACCTGACTATCACAACTATCAGAAATGTAAAACAAAGTTTGTTTTCATAACCTCGCATAAAACCCCATGCTGCTGCACTACAGGACCAGACCTACTTCCATATGCGCTTATTCCTCTCACGTCCCCTTGTTCAAGATTCTGCCTTTCTACCTTCTCAAACCAACCTTCCCTCATTGTCACCTGCTTTCTAACTAGGCCTAAAGAAATAAAAATCAGCGATTAAAGAACTGTGATCTTCCTGTACGTCTACACAGACGAGAATGTCTGTTGTTTTGGTTTTTTGGGGTTTTTTTTTTTGGGTGGTTGGTTTTTGTTTTTGTTTTAAATGGCTATCGTTACTTAAGCTCAACTGTAGTTTTCCTTACCTTAAAGATAATACAAGAGGTAAGGAAAGGTTAAGGAATACATTTTTAAGGCAGATAGATTTTGAGGCAAAAATCAAAATCTAAGGTAAAATTCTGAGTCATACAAAAATAATTCAATTTGGCTATTCCGTTGATATGTTACAACACTATTTTCCTGATGTGCCTACCAGATACACAGAACTACTTTTCAATTTGTGGAAAACAGTCCAATTTCAAGCTTCAGTAAGCAGTCTGTCCTTTATCATCTGAGCTACGAAACAGCATTAATTTATGTATTAACAGTGCATTAACGGTATTAATCTATAAAAATTTATTTAATATTCAGTTCCCCATTACCTAAAACAGTGAAATGCAGATATTGGCTCACCCCTTTATTTCATAATTAAGGCTACCCAAACATAGTTCCTTCCCATTTAAGATATCATTCAAAATAAACAAACCCCTTTGTTTAGAATGCTAACTGTCATGAAGTCACACATTTATGACGTAGAACTCCTGCTGTGCGTTTCTCACTCCTTCCTTTCCTCTCAAGGCAGGATCAACTAGACCTATAACCTTTCCAATGAAATCACAGTGGTCCTTGAAGAGTAACATGAATCATCAAGTTCGGCCCTCCAGAATTTGTCCTACTAAAAGTTTTGGCTAATATTTGACCCGAGTCTTGCTGCTGTGGTTTCAACACATTGCTGCTTGTATTACATCCTGCAGTTCTGAACAGTAAATTTTAGAGTGGCAGAGGCAGACGCAGGCTCCACACCAGCCAGACAACACAGCGACAGGTTTCTTTTGACAGCAAGTGGTCCTCAAGCACAGAAGTCTGAGAAACGATCTTCAAAAGCCAAACAGCAATTTTACTACCGAGTTATAAACAGCCAGAAGCATACAGGGATTCACTTCTAAGATGGTGATGCAAGAGTGGTGATGATGTCATTCGTCAAGAAAGGCACGGCAGACTATGGACAGAAAAGGAGGAAAAAAAAAAAAAACCAAACCAAAAAAAACCAACACAAAACACCACAAAACCCAAGAGCTGTGGTATCTTATTAGACAGAACTTGACAAAAGTGGAAATATTACTCTCCAGCTAAATAAGATATTGGTTCCTAGCACCTACAAAGATAAAAAGGTTATGCATATTGCAGTCAATATGTTATTAAACTATCACGATATGATATCCCGTTTAAAAAAAAAATTATGCCTTTTCCAATATAATTTGCTAATGGATTCTGAAAGGACTAAATGAAAACTATTTAAAATTACAAAAGAAAAATGAACAATGGTTTTACTTGCCACCAGTACTACATGCTCCATTTGAAAATGTTCTTTGGTATGAATTACTTCATAAGAAAACACGTACACATGTTCTTTGTTTTCAAAAAGTTCAACTCAAGAGATAATTTAAGTTACATATAATATGAAATACTTCCTTACAAAAACAATTGTTTCCCCATCAAATTGATTAAAGCAAAACCTTTTCATACACAAGAGCAGCAATTTCGATTGAAATCTCTCATTCTGAAACTTTACTAAATAATTGCTGCCTTCATGCTTTAACGAAACTGTTATCTAGTCAGCATGTTATTGTAGCACAGCCGTCTATCTCTAAAATGACAAATGCCATATCAAAAGTTCATACATCACCGTGTTCTCAGAAAGTCAATTCAATTAAGAAGTTAATCAAAATTTAATTCTACACTTAAGACTGCATTACCATCTACCTTACCCAAGATGATTTTATGATTCAGACCAAAAAGGTTCATTTTTATTCATTTAACTCAAAGTAAAAAAGGATGCCAGAAAGGTATTGATATAAACTGATGTCTTCCATTCATCAACAGGCAAAGTTTGGCCCTGGCAGGAACCAGTGCATTTGGTTATGGTACAGAGTCAAGACTAAAAGTAAAAAAAGTACGCAGTAAAAAAATTTCGCTCTTCCTATGATTGGACTCGTCAGCTTTTAAATATCCTTAAATCAAAGCTGCCAGCAAGGTGTTATGACTTTCTGGCCAAGAAAAACTACGCAGTACATCCATTCACTTCAAAAGAGCACCTATTGCACAGCAACAATTCTGGGGACTACGACCCTGTCCCCACTCACACGTAACGTCCGAGACATTATAGGAGCCATCTTGTATTGCATTTCAAGTCATTTCCGTACCCACAAATCTTCTGTGAAAACAGGGCAGAAAGAGCCTCAGCAGAAATACCGGCATCAGACATACACCTTTTAAGACTTTAAAACAAGTCTCATGTGGGACTTGAGCTCACAAAAGCATCCTGCAAAGCCTGTGCACGGAGGTGGGTACTTTTAACTGCATTTCTGAATGCAGCCGCCTAACTAGAATTATTATGGATTTCTCTGTAAGTGGTCACTAGCGTCACATAATAGTAGATCAATGAAAATTGTACTCATTTCTAGGCATTTACACTAACAAGAATGATTATAATTAAGGGTCTCCTGGCATTTCCCGTACAAATCTATTTTTCGGGGACTTATACATCAGCTATAATACTACATTTTTGACTGAAACTTGATACGAAAGTTCTCAGCTACGCTTAAGTCAGTAAACGTTCCTACACCTTTGAAAAGGCTTCTTTCAAAATTGAAAAAAGAAAAATGGCTTGCAAAATTACTTTCTATCTGCTTAGGTTGTTAAGCATTTTATCCTGAGCAACCTAAGGTGGCATATGCTACAAGATATGAACGTTGCATTTCTCATTCTGTTAGGGATGGAATTCCTAAAAGCAGCTTGCATTGCAAAACATCAGTGAAAAAGAGCAACAGGACAGTATAACGGATTGAGCGTTCACATAAATTTTAGGAAGATTTCAGACTGATTAAAAGGCTTCTTTGGTCATTTCTGGACTTACATGATTAGTGAAACGATGATGCAATTAGTTGCAAAATGCTGCTTTTCATTTGTAAATATGATGTGCATATTTGTTTAATCCTATTTCCTTCTTCCCTGTATGTTATCTAAAAGAATAAATCATTTCATAATAAGGAATAATAAGAGAGTTACACTCCTAAATCATTTAATTTAGAAATTCAGTCTACTGGACCTTCAACCTAATTTTATTTTACTTAAATTTTATGACTCCTTCAGTGCACATCTTGTCAAACGTGGATTAACATTGTTACTCTGACACCCCTGAGGGAGCCAACAGAGCCTATGGGGTCAGCAGCCCTTGGAAGAGAAAAAAAAATTTCCACAACGCTCTGCAAATCCTTTGGAGCTGCAGAGGCTATTAACTCAAAACAACACTTTATAAAAGAAACAAATATGGATTCCACAATGGACCATAACGACTTCTGGACTATTGAGTAATAACTGTTACGCAAATGACAACACACATTTACCTTTACAGACCATAAGGAAGTAACAATATTTTACCACTTTCGCTAAATGGATGCAATAAAGTATGCATATATGTACATATGTATTTTTTTTTACAAAACACCTTTTTAAAGGCCTATACAGAGAACAAACAAGTTTGAGCACTAACTTTACTCACTTGAACAGAAACGACCTCTGTTCCAAGTATTAAGAAACAATTTAAATTTCCATTAAAAAAAAATAAAAATTAATCTACAATAGAAATAAAGACCAGATTTTCAAAAGTGCTCTGCATTCATGGCAGCGAATAGTTTTTCAAAAGGCTTCAGTATCTTATTCAGGTACTTAATTATTACGTTTTAATAGGTAGTTCTCACTGAGAAAAATATGCCTTCAGTTCCGTGAAAGCAATAGGAACTTCTGGCTACTTCACAGCCGTACGCAACTGAATTTGAATGAGAAACACTTCCGAAAGTCTAAACCGTAAGAGTCACAGTTCTCAGACATCCCAAATATATGAAAACCCACAAACTTTTCTGGAAGACCTTCTTATCATCTCAAACGGGTTTAGCATGACCTTTACCTAACTCTACACCTCCTGCTCCATTTTTCCCCAAGTGTCATATCTTAAAAAAAACCAAAACAAAACCAAAACACAACAAACAAACAAACAAACAACACAACACATCAAGACATTTTGGGCAGTTTGCACATTTGGGCCTTTCACCCTATGTCAATCCAAAACAACTTTTCAGGAAAATTGCCTGTGATGACTCATCTCTGGAAAAGGTTACATTCACAAGTTTCTGCCATTTAGACTATTTAGTTTCCCAACTCCTGAAGATCTGTCTTGCACTGCTATTCAGGATGGAGCTGTTCCAGGTGAGCAGGCATGTTGTTCCTATTTAAGGCAATTCAGACAGCTTTACAATATTTAAATCTCATGACAAAGTAGATAAAGCTAGTATGCTTAAGTCACGCCTAACATAATAGCAAGTCATGGCTACTATAATTCAAAACCATTTCCAGCAACAGAGGAGAAGGTAAAGGACGTGTCGGAACCTTCCGTAGGTGAATTCATTACATGAAAGACCTCTGTTCCTGGTCCTCTGCAACCTGAATACTTCCACTCACAACCACCATAGGCTAACAAACCTATCTAGAATAGAGGTGCACTGCACCCAGGCTACTGTGCAGCAGCGAATTCAAAACTCACGACCACAGGAAGAAGGCATGCAAGGGCAGCGATCAGGACACTCAACTGTGAAGGAAAAATCAGTTTTTAATCCATTGCCAGAGAGTTGCTTAGTTAATGGAAATGCCTATTCATTAAAGAAGAAAAGAAAGAAGAAACAATCCAGAGAGCAGGCGCTGGAACAAGGACTTTCCACTTCAAGCAGCTGGATTTTTTTAATATGCATTCATTGGGGCAATTACCATCCCTGCCCAAGGCCAAACTTCCTGTCATTTTTTTCTTCTACTTGCTCAAAATTTAGAGAGCTGAATTTGTCTTTCAGCATAATCACAATGAACCAGTGGTTAGCCTATAGGAAAATCAGTGGAAATATTCTGAGCTGCTGTATCTACTACAACAGCACACACCTGAAATGCAAAAAAGCATCTCTCAGAAGGGTTGCTTTTTTTCCCCACAGTTAAATTCTTACTACTTGAAAACTAACAAATGAATCCCTCTGTCAGTATTTACAGAATAAAAATTAGTAAGATTTAACCTTGATGGAGATACGCAAAAAGCAGTTCAAGATAGACAGAAATAGCACAGTCCCCTTGTTCTTTAAGTCTGGGGACATGGGAAGAGCTCACACTCGAAATGCTTTATCTGGCCTGTGATAACCTACGTTAAATATGATCTACAAATTCTATATTCAGTTGCATACATGTCAACCTCCTGAATGTTATATATCTTTTCGTATTTAGAATGGAAATGTTAGTTTTGATTGGGAAGTACTTACATAGTTATTTGCAAAACTCATACAAAACGGACACATGCAGTACACGTCATTCCAAGTCTGGGAGAATCTTTGCATTGATTAGCTAATTTGAAAATACTTAGCCAGAGAATTTGCACGCAAAGATCGTCATAGGCAAAAACCTATAAAGCAAGAGCGCTGCTACTTCACAACCTGACCTTCAGACAGGTAAGGCTGTAACTGTAAATATGCCCACTGTATCGCTGTTCCTACAAGGCTTGTGTTATACCAGCCATCAGGCATCCATCATACGTAACGTTGCTGTGAAGAAACGTGAGCAGGCTGGGAATCCCTGCAGAAGCATAGTAAGAGTAATTACAATAAAGCACAAAGGCTGCTTCTGTCCTGTTTATCTTTTTGTCAAGCCATAGTATGCCTACAATTTTAATGTAATTATGCACATTCATTCATTTTTAAATTACAGATTGCATCCACCCATAGTAGCCGATTTTTCAGTATTAATAACTCAAGACACTT